TGTAGTCTTGAAGATGAGCATCAAAGTACTTTTTCTACACTTACCCACTCCATTTGCTGGTTGCTGATACACTCACTTGGGCATGCACTTAGTTTATTTTTGTCTTTTGCCTTTCTTGCACTTATAGCTTTGGAAAACAAAATATATCCAAGTGATAGAATGAGAAGGCTATCTTATCTTCTAATAATACTGAATGGGTTTTGGAGGCCACGATAGTAATAGATTTAAAAAAATCAATAGATTATGGAGGTATTGCCATGCCTAGATTGATGGCCAAGTCTCATACATATTATATGAGCCTAGAACTATTTTGAGTGTCTGGATTTAGAATTGTTTCTTGGCTACGAGGGCCAATTAATACTGAAAAAACCCAAGATTATTAAAACTGTTCTGGATACTACAATTGCTCGTACCTCAGGGCAGATTCCATACCATGGGCACTATGATAGGTGCAGTCTTGGTCATAGATTTGCCTGTGAGGTTATGTTTTAGACTCACTGACGCGTCATGCAAAGCTTCATCTCTGTTACTTACAGACATGGCTCACTGCTTTGCATTCAAGGAAGCACAGTTCTGCCTGGATTTCTGTAGAACTCGTGCATTTCTGGAAAGCGTGAAGAATGATAAGTTTGTGTAGGCTTGTTTTCCTGTCTGGGAAAGAAAAATTAAAACCAAAAGAACTCCCCTTAGCTCTCTTAGAATACTGTCAGTTTGGAGCATAACTGCCTCAAATTGTGTAGTATCTCTAATTTATGAATGGTACCAGCAATACTCTGTAAACGTTTCCTTTTTTTCTTCAGGACTTGAAGAAAATGCTAGTTTATTTGTGCTCAAACTTTTCTAGGTTATATATTTCTGTTGGCCATCCCTTTTGGTGAGAAAAATTGCATTGTGTTTAACCTCCTAAAGCTTTCCTTAATTGGGAATTCCCAAAATGGAATATACACAGGAGGAGAGCAGTTGACAGAGAATTCTTTCTTACTAGCTCATTCCCACTTTTGTCAGATTCAGGTTCTTTGTGCTTGGAAAATGGACTAGAGCTATGCTCAGATTGCTCTATCTTTGATTCAGTGCATGAATGTACCTGAAATATATGTGCATTGAATGGAAGATCATGGCAAATCTGGCCCTTGGTTGGTGGTGTAATTTAGGGCTGGGCTGGCCACTAAATGATGGACAGATGCTCTGTTGACCCCTCTCCCCTCCTCAGAAGGGGAGGAGAAAGAATAAGGGAGAGAGACTTATGGGTTGGAAAACAGGTTTAGTGAAACAATAACAATAATACTACAGGATAATAATATAAATAGGAAAAATAATGAAATATATACAAAACCAATATAAAATCCAGTGACTATTACGTCACCAGAGACTCTGCAGAGCAGGTTACTGGAGAAGTCCCAAACTGGACTCAGCAGCAGGTGGGAGCAGAAACTGGATTCAGGAGTGCACAGACTGTGGTTGAAGGCAGACAAACTAGCAGGGTTCTGCTTGGCCATCGGCCATGGCAGAAGCAATGAAGACGAGGAAAAAAGAGATCCCTCAGCTCTATACTGAGTGTGACATCTGTGGGATGGAATACTTTGGTCAGTTTTTGGGTCGTCTGTCCTGTCTGCTCCTTCCTGCAGGTGTGACACTTCACAACATCCTAATACAGTGTCCATGATGGGGCAGTGGCCTTGGTCTCCATACACACGACTATAAGCAAGCACTATACTTACATACTGTACCTAATAGTAGCTATAAACATCAAGCACTGTCAGTTGTGGAAATTAGCACTGTCTGGAAGAACATGCTGTTAGTTTCAGAAAGTACAGTCACTTAGAAGAGACTTAACTGAAAAGTAAAGTCACTAAATGGATAATTAGTTCTATTTAGCTCAAACCAGGACAGTTGGGTGGAGAGAGGTTAGCCAAGATAGTGGCGGGGGAGAGGAAGCAAGCACTACAGGCAGTACCAAGTGGTTCATCTTTCTTCTATTCTTACCCTAACAGTAATGAGAATTTGGACAGTAAGATCTGTGTTTGTATGTATTATCCTGGTAATAGAGACAAAACTATAAGGTAAAATGCTGGTGCCAGGGATGTGTTCAGTTATACTGTCTGCTGCCTGTGTCTTGATTTGGAAAACTGGATTGTACAAAACTTATTTTAAAGTAGTAAAGAAGCCATGCTAGTCTGGAAAGCCCTGTACTGGTTGGCTCAGGCAAAATTTCTGGCCTTTTCTACATCTGGAAAAATCAGACCTGCAATTCAGCATGCACACAGCTTTAACGAGTGAAGAGCTAGCTAAGTTAGTGAGAACAGGCAAAACCCATAGGAAAATGCTTTGACTTTTGATGTGTCTGCTGTGTGCCTGCGTCCCCATTTGACTGCTGCAGATAATGCCTGAAGAGTCATGTAATTACAGCCTGTATAGTTCTGCGATAAGAGCATTAATGCATGAGATGCTGCTTGAGAAGGTTCACAAGTAATTGCCTATCATGGGATTTTTGAGTAGTTCTGTCAGTTAAGTCTGTGGAAATCTGAATTTCATTTAAGCTACTTCATCGTAAATAAGTAAATGTATTTAACCCATAGTTACAAGAAATGTTTTGAAGTCCAGAATGAGTTAGCACTTACAGGAATGAATTAATCCTGAAGCACTGTATTTTCAGATATTCAGTTAATAATACTGCTGTTACAGCTTATTTAGTGACTGTATTGCTGACGGTTGAATGTGCTGTTAAGGATCAGAGGGTCAGCTGCGAGATTGCACCAGGCTGCCCAGGGCTTTGTGCAGCTGGGGCTGGAAAACCTCCAGGAAGGAGACTGGGCAAGCTCTCTGGGCAGCCTGTGCCACTGCCTACTACCCTCCTTACACCTAGTTGGAAGCTCTCTTTAAGGTTATGGTGTACTTAAGGGGAGTGGAAGCTAAAAAAAAAAACCCAACTAAATTAGATATTTGAAGATCGAGATGAGTAGTGGTTATTTTCCTACTTAAGGAGTTGATTGAATCCAGTATTTTCCTCCCATCGATCTAAGAGCAGACAGCATTTCACCCTTGAGAGTGCTGCTTTCAGAAATTCAGTTACTCAGTTGCAGACACAGGGTTAATGGTTATCAATGTGGAGCTTTATCTTGCCTCTCAAAAAGTCTCAGGGAGCAGATGAATTTGGTCTGCTAATGAAACAAGCCAGAGGCTGCAGAAACATGGAACAGGTGACAAGAATGGCCGAAAACACCTTGGCTTCTCTCCTCGGCTGGACCAGCAGCTGTTAACAGGCACGTAAAGGTGGGAAAACTGTCAGCTTTCCTCTTCTCACCTTTGACAGAAAGGGAATAAACAGAACAACTTATCTTTTATGTTTAAATATCATTCCAGGTGAAAAATTTCATCAGATTCTGTTCCCAAATGTGTCTTGAAAAGCAAAGAAAAAACCCTCAAAAACAGAGCAAGCATCTATCTTTAACTGAAGTTAGAAACTATTCTTTAAAAACAAAAAAACCCCACTAACCCTTATTTTTCACTTCCTTTCTGATAAAATCAATTATATTGCACAAATTAATATTAGATTTAATAGACTTTCTGTAACATGTAAATAAAACCCAACTGATCTTATACCTAAGAAAATAGCTGTTATTCAGCAAATCCTGTTTATGTTGGGGGGAAAAAAAGGCTCTGCTTGTGTATTAACATGCTGGCCAGGAAAGAATCTTGACTATTTTTCTCTAGAAGTATTTAGTAAAACCCAAGTTTTCCATTTTATAGATAGGAGATTAAGAGTTCTCTATTTTGAAGTGATATCACATAATCAGAGTTAATAAAAAATGGTATGCAGCTTCTACTATCCAGGTCTGTCAGCCTGTGGTCTTCTTCTCTCAAATGTTTTTACTACATCTTTACTTAAAACCAGTTTCTTCTGTTTGCTTCTTCACACTTCAATCTATACAGTTACTTGTTTGGAACCAGTTATGAGCACAGAGGTCTCAGGACTATGCAAATGATTTCTACATCTGCTAATGCCCACTCTGGCACATCTGCTATTGCCAAGCGTGATTGTGGAAGAAATCTTTATGGGTAATTTCTGGTCCTCATGGTTGATAAACAACAAAACCCAATTCCACAAACAAAACTCACTGTTGAACAAGAAAGACTATAAAAATTCAAGCCAGTCTTATGATATTTTTCTTTTAACATAACTTGAAAAGTTAGAATTACAGACACTGGTAGCTCATCACACTGTAGTTGGTGGTCTGCTGTCAGGACCTTGGGTCAGTTGCTTTAGCTCTTCTTTATTTGAAGTGCCAGATCAATCTCTCTTCTATTCTGCCCTGTGTATTGCTGCTGTAGCTGCCCCCTCTCCTGGAAGTGCTCGCTGTTGTGTGGGCACTGCAGGTGGTTCCTGCTCCTCTTCCGCCTTGGCCCTGGATGTTGCGGTGGCCGTGGGTGTCAGGATGAAGCAGTCTGGAGGGGCCCTTCCTACGTGTACTGTGTGGCCTCCACCTCTCTGCCCCTCTGCTTCTTGCTCCTGGCCTGAGCTATCTCATAATTTTGGTAGCGTGTGTCTGTATTACTGTGCAGAACAGTGCTGTGGTGATACTCATCCTTCAGTCGGACCTGAGAGCATGTTCTGGCCCATAAAACCACCTCTTTAGGTGTCCTTTGTGGGTTCTATGTTAAATTTATGACTAGTAAATGAAATGTGGTTGGGGAGAACACTTCTGGGTTCTCATCAGTTTTCTTGGTATTAGATGCAGCCTTGCCATTTTTTTGAGTTAAGTTCCTTAATTTGAATAAAACAACTACATGTTTTCAGATTGTTTTTATTGTATTGTTCTTAATACTGATAAGCCAGTGCAAAACGTATTCTAAAATCTGTAAAAGCAGAGTAAGTTAGTTGACCAATTGTAGCTGTGTTTGTAAATCTGAGAGTCAGATTACTATTTAACTCAAGCTTTCTAAGTTTTATCTTCCTTTTAATTCTAAAGTCAGTTTATTTTTTCAACTCTCTTTTTAAACAGATGAAGCATGTAAAAGACAGATTTGGTGACGAAGTGCCAGAAGAAGTGCTTCTGCTGTGTCTGGGCATTACTTCAGGAGTTGGCAGATTGGTCTTTGGCAGAGTTGCAGATTATATTCCTGGTGCAAAAAAAGTTTATTTGCAGGTATGTCTTCACACTGTTCTGAAGGAATACGCAAACAATATTCTGAAGGCTTTGGTTGCAGGTATATTTAAGTGATTGGAGGTTAAAACTTGAGAAATTTCAAAGCTCTAGGAAACTCAATGTATGGTTGTTGATCCTAGGAGCCTTTGGTGCAAAGTTCATAAGTCTCTGATTTTTTTTTTCTTTTTGTAATGCTAAGGAAACATGTCTACTACCTGCTGACTGTTTTCAGCTGGAAATTAAATTGCTAATCATTAGCATGTGAATGAGAAAACCTTTGGGGATTCTCTAAATTCTGCTTTCCTTGTTTTATCCCATGATTTCATAATGGTTGCAGAAAGATGATTTTTTTTTCCCCCCTATGTTTCTCTGTTAAGGGTTTTGGATCTCTTGACCTTTGATAGGTGGTAATTTGGTGTGAAGGTGCATGGTACATGCTGGTAAAGCTATAGGAATGTAAGAGGTGCTTAGTTGAGGAGATTTTGGTGAATTTGAAGATTTTTGGTGAAGTAAGTTACTTACAGAAAGAGCCACAGTTTCCAGAAATGCTGAAGCTTAGGGGTGAAGGAGGATATACACTTTTTTTGCCCTCTGTACTTTTAAACGCCATTCTTTTGAGAAAGAAGTGGTGTTAGTGTAGATTTTTTGAAAAGCTTTAGTTAATAACTTGCATGTTATCAGCCACTGGGTGTTTGTTTTGCTGTTTTAAAATGAATAACAAGGGAGACATCTAATGGCTATTATCTGTACTACATCAGTGAAAATAAAACTTGGGAAAGAACCACTTTTCTGAAGATGGAGTATTTGTTGCCGTAGTTACATCAGTGCAGACTCCCTGGTGATAGACACTGGGACTGCATCTCCTTCACCTGCATTGGTTTCACACCTATTGTTACACTTCCAGGAAATCTCAATGCTGCCTTTTCACTTTTTATCTTAATATTGACATGTTACATGTGATTTACAAAGCACAAATACCAAGCTTGCAGTATAACTACAAGCTTTTTTATTCTTTTAATTGAATAGCTAGAACTGAAAAGTATGGAGTTTTGTTAAGGGCATGAACTAGGATTGACTGAGTCCTGTTGGTTTCACCTCGTTTTAAGCAGGAATACATGTTAACTTTTGCTAAACCATGCCCCAGCATCTTCAGATCTCCCGTTTCAAGTCAGCATTTTTGAGGGAAAGTGAATATTCACCTCAAGTACTATTCTGGATTGTCCAGCACTTCATACAATTGTCCTATTTAATGCAAAAATCATTTAAGAATTAATTTTTACTAATGCAAATGAAACATCTTTCCTCTTAAACTTTACTGTCTCATAATTGAACAACTTACAAGAGTTCTACCCAGCAAGTTCAACCTTCATCTTTCTGTTTCTGCATCCTTTTATGGACCTGTCTTGCTGGATTTTGTTTTATAAAGTCTTTCGTAATGGAGTGATGCATTCTGTATCTTGGGGATACAAAGCTCAGTAATTCTGGTTTTAGTGCTCCTTTTACTGTAATATGATAATACAAAGTATCTGGTCAACAGTATCTCCCTATAAGAAAGCTGGGGAAGCTGTTTACAAGGTCATGTAGCAATAGGACAAGGGGTCCTGGTTTTAAACTAGAAAAGGGTAGATTTAGGTTGGATGTTAGGAAAATATTCTTCATTATGAGGGTGGTAGATCACTGGAACAGGTTGCCCAGAGAGGTGGTGGAGCCCCATCCCTGGAGATACTCAAGGTCAGGCTTGATGGGGCTCTGAGCAACCTGATCTGGTGACATTGTCCCTGCTTACTGCAGGGGAGTGGGACTAGATGAGCTTTAAAGGTCCCTTCCAACCCAACACAATCTTAAGATTCTAACAAAATCTTGTTTAGAGTTTGTCTGCAGATAACGACACTGCTACCTGGATATAAACTCATCTCAAATAAGGAGATTTTCTGTGTCAGAATACACAGAACTGGGAATTTCTTTACCACTATCCTTAAGTTCCTATAAGTCTTCAGTGTTTCTTTTTCTATACTTCAGATGCCTCACAACTGTTTTTCTTTAGTACGCTAAATAACGTACATTACCTAAAAAAAGTTACACTGTCCTGAAAGTTAAGTTTCATTTAGCTGTCTGCTTGAAGACTTTTCCTAATGAAGCAGTTTATTTGATGTCGCTTGTCCATCAAAAAATTGTGATGTCTAGTCATTTTAAATGACCTTGTTTTTCTGTAATGGTCTACAAGTGATCACTGCATAATGCATACATCTTATTTGGAAGTGTAGTTAAGTGGGACATTGATTTCCTATGTTGACGTCTGAATGTTGCACAAGGAAAACTCTTATCTTCATTATTTTATTTTTAATTCTGCTTCATTTTGCTGAAAGACAGTTTTATTCCTTTAATTTACAACAAACAAATAATAACCTTAATCTAAGATGACAATATAAAATCTTTGTAAGTGTGCATGGCTACAAGAATACAGCAAGATGCCTTTATGTGGAAAAATTCAAATAAGACTTTCAAATACCGCCTCTGAATATAAGCACCCTGAAGTAATCACTCATGATACTGATATTTTTGATTAAATTACAACACTGAGGAGTCTAATTATAGTGTTTTAGCTATATTAATCTTCTGGTATTTTTGTGGCTTTCATTTGTGAAAAGCGCAGAGAGGAACTTTTCAAAAAATGTTGGTGCACAAGAAATGACCTTACAGAATCACTGCAGGTGAGGTGAACACGAATGCATTTTAGAAACTTGTGAAATGGGCAGTAGAATTTCTTTGCTTGTGTGTCATGATGGTTCTGGGTTTTTTCTTTGTATATAATTTCTGCTGGTGGTAATCCATGGAGACTGCTTATATTGTTTTAAAGTAAATACAGGCAGACAACTTAAATAACAAGAAATGCAAGAAAGCTTATATTTTCCCTCTGTCTTTTGCTGTGATGTGGTTTTCTTTTTCCCTTTGGTCATGTTTAGGTTGCCTCATTCTTCTTTATTGGTCTGATGTCAATGATGATTCCTCTGTGCCACGTCTTTGGAGGTCTCATTGCCGTCTGTCTCTTCATGGGCCTCTTTGATGGGTGCTTCATTTGCATCATGGCTCCCATTGCCTTTGAGCTCGTTGGGCCTCAGGATGTCTCCCAGGCCATAGGATTTCTGCTAGGACTCATGTCAATACCTATGACAGTTGGTCCACCCATTGCAGGTAAGTATAGATATGGTCTGTAGCTGTAAATAAGTTTCTATGTTCACGTGACTTTTTGCCATATTTTCTATTCCTACATCATATGCAGTGCACTTACATTGGAAGTTTTCTCTGTATGCGCTCCAGAACATATGGTGAATTTAACTGCTGCTTACGGGTTATTCATTTACTGTACTCTTTGAAGTTTTCTTCAATCTTTTTTATTAAGTTACGCAGATGTAAAATATTTCTCAGAAGAAAGATAGGTTTCCAGTTGGATTGAGGACCTGACACTTTCCTTGCTGTTGAGGTAACAGCCTGTAAATTGATTGTGTTACAGAAGGGCTCCAAATTTAGAATCTGAAAATTAATTGGAACTCCAAAATCTGCTCATGCAAAAACAATTGTGAGGATAAAAGCTCCAGTCACTTTAATTGCTTCTTACAAGTAGGAGCATTGGCTTTTTTCATTCTTTGGGAGACTGACAAAGTACAGGTTTTGAAGATGAAAACTGGAAGTTGTTTGGGAGGTGGAAATTGCTGAAGCTATAATCCTTAGCACTGGTGATTTTCAATTATAATTTACTCTAAGGTCTGTGTGCTACTGAAAGATACTTAAGACTTAACTATGCAGCTTTATAAAGAATAAAATTTTAAAGCTAGAACAGTAGAGACTAGGTGATTCCTGTTCTGGATACAATGTCACAGCTATTGATACTTAAATAGAACTTGATTAATAGGAGGAGTTTTGAGGGAGCAATTAGAGTGAATTGTTGAAAACACACTTTTTAATAAAGAGGCT